CTACTACGTATGTGGTAGCTATGTCATCGAGAATATCGTATATGGTCAGTAGTTAACTATGTTATTTACGCTATCAGGCGCTCGATAGATGGTTGACAAATGTGATATGGTATGCTCGTAGTCCTTTGGAGAATATGATAAAGGTTGCCGGAGTCGATATGTTTCAACTTATCCTGTGAATAAGCAGATCACTGGTTACCAGTGTAGCACGGTGCCGGCGACCGGTGCGCTGCGTTTTGTGTCTCGGAAAACAGTCCGCAACCAAACACGACGGTGCCGCCCACCTCGGTCCTCACTTCCCAAAAACGGGGCGGCACAAATTGTATGCAATGGGGGGTTGCATACAAGTGCGTTGATACATTCCGGTAATTCCAGAGTCCCTATGACTCATAGGCTATGAGCCTTAGGCACACCTTGTGGAGCTTCCATACAGTTTCCACTTATAATCATAATTGACCTTCGAGCATTGACTCTTCCAAACGTTAGCAGGATCATCAGTAAAGAACGCACTTAAGAAACAGGCACGTGTACGGTCATCATAGAGATTGACGTAGATATAAAGCTCATAAGCCTCAAACGAGTCACGTATATTGTCCGTTGCCTTATCAGCAAACTTCTCAGGAACGGGCACAAAGAGTCGCTTCGCCCGCGCAGGAAGACACCGTGGAATACCTCACCTGAAATATCACTGAATTTCTCAGAAATTTTCTGGAAAATTCGAAATATTTCACTATGAAATATTTCAACCCCCCTTATTAAGGGGGGTTGATCACCTACAGTGGAATCTGAACCGAGACGATCACGGGATCAGAGCAGTTCCGTGGGGTGCTGCGCTGGTGATCACCGGCTGATCCCCGACGCAGGAAATATATTGCAAGATTCATGATGAACGATTCATCTATGAGCTCAGGCTGTTCGGACTCCGAACTCTGGTATGAACAACCTTGCACCTGTCGGACAGTCACGTCCTCCGGTTTGCTCCAAGAGAAGTCAGATATTCCAGGACCAATTATGGCTTAGATCGTCCGAGCCCCGGACTCCGGGGCTCGGGTTTGACTGTAACAGTCCAAAGAAGAAAAACCAACAACAGTTGTTGGTTTTTCCTCTTTGGCATCACATACAGACCGAGCGGCCCCAGCGTTCAGCGCCGTTTTATGAGCTATATCGATGCATTCGTACAGACAGTAGAGATCAGTTCACGGTGCATTAGTTTATGCTCGTGACATCTCGTAGTCGTTATTTCCGCGATGTCATCGCCTTCATCATCGTGTTCGGTGCTCGAAGATGTGCGCATGGGGGAACTCCCGCAAGAGCATGTGAAGTCGGACATCACAGGTGGCCACTTCGCCACCGCTTCGCCAGAATAGCGCGGTCGACCTCTTTTGTATTACACAAATTCCATATTGATTTCTTCAGCGTTAGCTCCTTCAGCGCCGGTGGATGACGAAAGTCAGTGATTGCAGTGGCTGTAGGACCTCGCGTACCAAGTCCAAACCGCATCTTCCAACTGAAAATTCCAACCGGAATTGTCAGGACTGACGATTCCGAATTGTGGAACAAAACATGAAGGGCGAAGTAAAGAAGGAAGAAGACATCCGAATCGAATGAAATCCCAACGGTATATTGCGAAACATCCAGCTAGCTTCGCACCATTAGCGTCGTCTGATTTAGTGTAGCTCAAGCTCATCTGCCTTGAGAATCGAAGCAGATAATAATAGATTCGACGATTCTGAACTGAATGAGATATGAGCGGAAAAATTTGAAGATACGAACTGAACGATCCACTGATCACATGGGTATTCCGTGATAAGTTATCACTGATAGCCGCTCTGACTCAACGCCTGTTACATACTTATCATCACGCTTAAAGGCGACGAATTTTCAGAGCGCTATTTACGATATAAAAACAGAAAGAATGTAATATCGATGAGAAGTCGTCATTGACAACTTATTCGAGCTAACAGGACACTTGCACTTGCCATTGTAAGAGCGAACGTTACGTGTATAAGATTAATTAGGATCAATAACGTCTCTAATGTAGATGCATATAAACTCTATATTGTTGCCAGCAACATAGCCTTCCCAGCGCGATCCCGGGATCATTCGTAGATTTCAATCATGTATCAACAATCAGTGACTTAATAAAAGTCACGTACAGTATGAAATATGACGAGTGTCGTAAAGTTTCATCCCGTATGTTACGATGGCTATTTCACTTGAGATTTCACTTATTTCACTTAGTGAGACCGTTCTCACTAATACTGAGCTCAATTCTTTGAATTGGTAAACTCACTATTACTTTCTATTACTCATCACTACTGGAATTCCACTCTGTAACCACCTTTGACCAAATTCTCATGATGGTCCTCCATTGATGGAACATGTTTTTGAGACCTGTACAATGTTGAGTTTGGCTGAGTTTTTAATAGCGTGTGATGATTGGCAGTCATCGATTGTGTACGAGTCGACAGTATCGTACAGTACGACGATACTGAAGAATGAAAACGCGCAATTTCGTCGTTCGAAGTGTAGTTGAGAGCGACATTACATCGCAGTCGTCCACTCACTTTGCTGGTTATCTGATCCATCGGCAGTCCCAAGCTTGTTATGAATGAGATAATCTCTGCTTGAGTTATAAGCAGAACGTGCTTACTCTACGCCTTAGTGCTTGGCCTAGGAGCTGAAGCTTGGATCAGCGCAGCGTGCTTGGTATAACGGATACTGCTTAGCTTTACAGTCTGCGCTTGAATTAGACCAATTACGCC